AAGTCTTCTTGTCGTAATTAACACTCCTCGCGAAACGACTAGAACCTCCAACTTATCCGCTCCTTCCAACAAACAAAGGCTTCTCGTATATCGATCGGCCTCCGGATTCTCAGTTGTCAATCTCACCGTCTTGGTCGTAGTACACCCGCTTAACAATAGCTTTTGGCCACAGACCTCTTTGAGTGTCATGGCTGTTTACGAGGACTAGATGGACGGGCTGCAGGTCTCTCTTTTTTTCTAACCACTTGAACCATGCTTGCAGTATTGGAAGGTATTCATACAGCCACCTAAGCCAGGACAAATCTGCCAGTTGTTCTGCTTCTCTCCGTTTTTCATAGTAAGGTGACATTCTACTGCGTTCGGTGCCCTCGTACGTCAACTATCCAACTTTGTGAATATTAGAATGGGTGTCTAAAGATTTCACTTAACCCTGAACGCTTCTTTGTAAGCCTTCATAAACTAAACAAATGGATTTCAGCAAAAGGATCTCATTCACCTAAAAAACTAAGGAGGGTGTGACAAAGTGTGGTGACTCGGTGACACTGGTACTTCCTATTGATGGCTAAAACTTGTTTGAGATGGTCGACTGCACGACTGAGCCACATGTAAAACAAGTAAAACAGGACAGTTGTGTATACTACTGTATTCCACGTGGGTCACTGAGTGATACCCAGGAATACTAACAAAACTCCGTCTCGATTTACTATCAACACAACAAGATGACCGGTGATTTATAGACCGATCGCTTGAGTATTTGCCAGATGGTAAGTGTGCTGAGCCGCAAAATTAAAGCCCACGTTAGGAAAGTCCGGGAAGCTTATCTACGAAGGTCCGTGCCGCGATATGCGTTTGCTCGAATACTTCTTCTTACAACTTTAAGGCAGAAAATTATTATAGTAATAACGAGGGATACGCCAGCCACTTTGTTTATGGAGGTAAGTCTGTGTCCTCTTAAAACGCTTAATGCTGAACTGAAATTGCCAAAAGACCATTTGACATGGAAAACGGTGTGTTTTATTTTATAGATCTAATTAGTTTTCTGTGTGTAAGGTAGAAGGCACGACAAAGAGAGTATCCTACTGATACACGCTAGCACTGACAACCCCAACTTAGTATTAAAATGTATCCTAGGATAGGCAAAACTATGTTTTTAGTTATCAATGTCCTGGGAGGTCATAATTTACATGACGAAAGAAATAAAATGAGAAATCTTCTTTTACGACAAATATCACAAGGCGATGAGCGATCTGCCTGCAGGCGAATTTTATTCATATCCTCCGCATCTTTCATATATAATCTCATTGAGAATTTTGTGCGTTGTAACTGTGGCGAAGATGTTTCATCCTTGTGCTACGTATTCATAATGAATAAGTCATATCTTCTGTTTTGTTAGATGTACTTGGCATATCATGTGATCTACAGGCTGAACTGCGAAGAAGACTTTAGTCCATTCACAGATTACCAGTAGACAAACTAAGTACAACGCCGCCACTAATTGATAAGGAGGGGAACTCTGAAATCATCAGTGACCTACTGGCAATACCTTAATGGTGACCATTTGACTGAAAATGTTCCAGTTAGGAAAGAATTACTTTTATTACACTAGCCGAAGTAAATTTGTAACCGCTGGTCCAGCGAAGAAAATCAGCAACGTCGAAAGGCAATGTGGCTGACAGATAGAAATGATTGCCAATAGTAACGAAAGCTTTATTCTGAAAAGTGTGTTGATACACAGTGTGCGTCGGTGGCACAGTGGTTAGGACTCTCGCCGACCATGCACATGGTCCGGGGTTCGATCCCCTGCCGGCGCACACCCGATATCTATGGTATGCCTGAATTTGGGCAACCGATATCCATGCTGAAAATTCCACACTTGTACTGAAAATACGGTGTGGAATCAAGCTGTAAATAAAAAAAATTCTAGCGCGTCGTTTCGTGAAGTTTTTGGTCCTTGTTTGGATGTGCTGAGGTTTAATGGGAAGTGGTCGAACTGGAACACACGCTTTTTTAATAGTATTGACGTGAACATAGTAGATGACAAAAGATTGCTTCAAGGAAACACTGCTCGGAAATCCATATCTAGGCACAAGCGTCTCTTCTAATTTTCGAAAGGCGAAGCATGCCGGACAGACAGAGAGTATTATCAGAATTCCATATAGTCGGTGCCTAGAAAACTCAAAAATAACTGGAACTCAGGGACTCATTTGGCGGACAACCCAAGTAGTGAAGTAACACAGGGATAACCAGGTACTTTTAGTCGTGTGATTTGAAATTTTAGAAACTCTTCTCATCTTTTTCGACCTGCAATCTTGGAAAATTAGTTTGGAAAAATCCACCGAATGTGATGACTGAGAATAATCCCGGAAACAGTGCACTGAGGCCCCATAAGCTTCCATTGTCAGTGCGTCTCAGAATGCATTTGTGTGGCCACAGATTTCAAAAGAGTAAAACTGCTCAATTTTCGTGTCTAGTGTCTAAAGAATGACCAAAGGCTGTTAAGGCAGGGAATCAAGAGCGGTTTGCATTGCTAGAAGACCACTGTTCGGATCTCCGAATGGTTTATATAATAATGTAAGTGATGAACTTCGGCTCTATGGTAAGTGTAATTCCATATCAGATAGTTTATTTTGAAAACCACACTGTGATGCAGTGTTAACAACTGGATGATGTTTCGGGTATAAATTATCACTCATAATCATATCAGCTGATAATATTATCTTATATGGAATTGCTTTGTATAGTAATCCACTAGGCTTGAATACAACTTATATTGAAGGTTGGACAACTGGTTTGGAAATTGACTGTTCAACAATAGACAACCATAACAGGGTCGCTTATGTGCGATAGCGATAATCGCACAGTTCTTGGCTGGTTACTACAGGAGAGTCTACAAATAAACGCAAATGTAATGCACATTATTATTCTTGACTGTCAGTTAGTATGTGATAAGACTGTGACAGGAATTTATGCCTTCAACCAATTAAAAATTAATATGAATAAACAGAGCTATAGAACACCAACTCATTGGTAACCTGTACTGATGGAGTGGGAAAAGTGATCCAATTTGTGCAATACATTAGGGCTGAACATCAGTTCAGCGAGACTGTGCAGGTTGTGCAGGGGTGTCTTCATACCTCAGGGTAAGCCATCCCCATTAAGGGTTACACTGGGCTCTGCCGAAGAGGCCGAAAGGATATTATTACTGGCTCAAGTACTAACCATCGACAGGAGTTCCGGCATAAGAGTGAGACATGATAGGCGATGGGCTAACAGGCAAATGGAGAGGGAGCCACCGGAATTGATGCCTTCTACCTCTGTGGTTATACACGGTGTTCCGCAGCTGGAAACTGGCACTGCCTGGGTAAAACACGTGCATGAAGTACATCAATGGAGATGGCTATCATCTCAGATGGCCCTTGGTGCTTCCAGGGCAATCTTGACTTTTCGACTAACTCACCCCGCTCGTCTCACACTGATTAGTCCCCAAGGCTTCTCCTGCACAAAATGTCAGGCAGTTATGGGTGGGCCGCTTTTGACATTGTTGAAAAGACTACCTAGCTGAAAGGAAATTCTTCATTTAGGTCCTGGCAGAGCTCGTCATCAGGAGTGTCTCAGGACTCTATCCTTGGGCCACTGATGTTTTTGATGTTTCTCGATGGCCTATCATGCTTTCTAAGCTGCTCGACTCTTCTTAACACTGACGGCGTAAGATTAGGAGAGCAATAAATTGTTCGGGAGACTCAGGTTGCAGACAGTTCTATAGCTTCTCGAAGACTGGGCGGTGACGAATGGTATGACTTTCAACCTGAAAAAGTGCAAAGTAGTGAAGTTACGCACCTACAGACTGCAGAATACAAGTTACACCCTGTGCAATGAAAGCTTGTCCTGCGCAACGTCGGAAGGTGACTTAGGTCTAGTTCTAACGGAGAAAATGGACACAAGCGTAAATTACACGGTGATGTAGCGAGGGCATATGCGGTCATACCTTTTACACATAGATGGTCAGATGCACTCACTCCTGAGCTCGCTCTTAGGTAGTACAAAGCATATGCACAATATCACTGCACCCCCACTGAACCTTTTGGAATGATTCCAAAGAAGGGTGACAAAAGGATTGATGGGTCTCAGAAACAAACTTATGATAACGGCTAAAGGAATTTGGATCTCTTCACACTCATCCAACATGAACCTACAGGGAACTTGATTACTGCCTAAAAGGTAAAAAATGACCAGAATCACCCGAACAAAAGTGTTCTGATATTAAGTAGGCATGGGCCTCCTCGTCGAAATCTCAGGAGGATAGCCCACCAGGGGGCAAAGACTCTAGAGCGCTCCCACTTCTTTTCACTGTGGGTTTGCCATCGCCGGAAATCCTACGCCATCGTCCGTGGACAGCTTTAAAAGAAGGCTGGGCAATCACGCAGTGACACAATGACTGCGTCCAAACGGCCTATCCGCATAAAATCCCACACACCATTAATGAGTCGACATCTAAACTTACCGTTTTACTTCTTCACATTCTGTCTTGTCTCATTATCCTGACTACTCCGACTACTACACTTACACTTGTTATCATTATTGATATTATATACATATATACATATGCATATATATATATCAACTTCATGTTTCACTAGCTGCCTGTTTTTACGCTATCTTTATTTCCTTTCCTGTCATTTAGCCTGCTTAACCCACACTAATTATATGTTATTACCATCTGTTTTCTTTTTCTGACGACACAGGAGGACTTATTGGTGAACAGATCAACTCCATTGACAGCAGCAGTCTTAAAACACCGCATACAACGTTAACACAATTAATCCTAGCACCATGCCTTTTCTAGTCAACCAAAGGTACAGCGATCGAGTGGCAGGAGTAACTACGCGGAAGTTTACGGAAGACAAGGAGCCTTCACCTCATGATCAAGAAGCAAGCATAAAGATATCAAGTTAGTTAACACCAGCTCTTGAAAATGATATTGGATATTGAACAGTGCTGCTATTGGATATTAGCTATGACCTAGAGAAAGCTCAGCAAATTTATGAAATGTTGAGATCTGGACTGAATATTTGCAAACGCGTTAGTCTAAGTTCCGTCAGGTTATCTAGCAGTGATGTCATCAAAAAGACACATCTTTACAATTTTCACGTCTCACAAAATGCCAAAATGATCGAATTTAGTAATTACAAAATGCCTCTGCAATATGGAGACCAGAGTATTATTGACAGTCATCAACATGTTCGCCAGCATTGTGGTCTTTTTGATGTTTCTCATATGCTACAAGTAAGTATATGTGCGTGGACTAATTTGAAAGATGAAAATTTTAGGAGATGATAGAATTAGTTTCATGGAGTCACTCACTACCGCTGATATTGAAGGTTTATCTGACTCATCCTCAACTCTTTCTGTATATTTGCTAAATAACGGTTGTATAATGGATGACACTATTATAACAAAGTGCAAGGAACCCTACCTGTATGTCGTTTCAAATGCTGCTTGCGCACAAAAAATTCAAGCTCACGTTACAGTAAGAGGAAAATTAAACTAAAACATTTAAGCCAAGAAAATGATGAGTGTAGCGATCAAATGTGGAAAAAAGTTGGATTTAAAAATAATGAACTATGCTCTTCTCGCACTCCAAGGCAAGTTATGCTCCATGTAATTTTGATTTACGATACAAGTTAATTTGAAAGTGACAGTTACGAATGTTAAAAGTCTACAACTATGATAGAAATGCTGGTGTACAAACTTATTTTCTTCGCTCATCAGTGTGAATGGATGGAGAGACATTTCACTGTAAATGAGTTCCCAAATTTTATTCGATTTCGCATATTTTCGATTTTATTGTGCTGCTGTATTGTCTTACCGAAAAAGTACTAAATATATCTGAATACTGAAACATTCCGCTTGACATACAAACTATTTCGCCATTCATGTTACGGAAGCATATATTAAATATCTCTATCGACAACTCACTTAAGTTAAGACTTAATTTCTGTGACAAACGTTTTCACTAATACAGAACGTGTTGATTGTGTTTGATTAGTTGTTTGCCTGCCACACTGGTGTTCTGTTTTTTTGTTTTGTGGACGGTTATACAGTATGTTGACTTCAATCGACAAAGTTAAAAACAGTCCTATACTGATATATCTGTTTCCTTACTTAGTAAAGGTCCACAACTGTATTTAAGTTCTAAATTTCTTTAGATATTTGTCCACACTCGCAGTTTGTGAAAAATTTACCATATTTAGTGGTCTGGTCATATAATAGTTCTATTATGCGTTTACTAGGATAATCTCTTTTAAGGCGATGAAATACACTGATGATAATCAAAGGACATCTGCATTACACAGTCCTGACTATTGGCTATGAAGAGTTTAAAACAGGAGGAGGTTAGAGGGTTTTAGACTATTGTTTTCCTTTGGGGATTACTCGCTTGTAGTGAGCTAGGTATATAAGGAGGACTTAAAATAAGGTATTAATACTTTATTAACTGAGCTGTTTGGAACATGGACTGCACATTTCCACATGTACTTGTCTCGACGCGCGGAAGCAACGTAATTATGAGAAGGTATGAGACAAAGTAGAATTAACTAATCTAAAAAATGGTACCAATTCGTTTAAATCTTTTGTTCACTTCAACTTTGCAGTTTAATGTACGTTTCCGGACTGGAATCCTTAGGATGTTAACAATCCATCCTAATTTTGCAAATTAAGACTTAAAGTACTCTTGCTTTCTCTGTTCCTTTCCGCCCTTCCGTTCTGCTAAGATACATCTACCTTTGCAAAATAGTTAACAGTATAACAAATATATTCGTTATTTCCGTCTGAAAATTTTCGAGCATTTTTATTCATATACTATCAGTTGTTATTTCTGCTTTCACAATCATATTTTACTTTTTATACTACCTAATTCTGTTCTACTTTTCATCTGTAATATCTGATTGGGACAACTAAATTACATGCACTTTTTTTCCAACTGTAAATTTATCTACCTGTAGTTTATTAGCTGATGGCTTGCCGAAAATGGTGGGCATATAGTATGCTTGCCGATTTTGTCGATGTCAGTATTTGTTTTAGTATTTTCGCCTAACATACAGTTTCTCTGGAAGCGAAATTATATAAATAAAACAGAGCATATGAGACGAAAACAGTGGGGAACTAAATGCAACTGCTGAAAAGGACTTAACACTTAGTTTTGACTTTTTTAAAAAGACAGAAAATAATATTAGGAAATTATATCTTCTGGACAAATATGTTCATAAAGATATCTGAATTACTTTATTAGGTAGAGGGAAAGCTTTAGCTGTCAGCCTATTGAAAATTGTTAAAAATGTGAAAATTGACGCGCGAATCCTTGGAAATACGGCATTCATTTATCAGCTTCTTGAATCATAAGTAGGGTGATATAACGCTCTAAGAGTGATTGTCACTGATGATGAACACTGGGTATTGAATTGTTTAACTGCCTCCGTTAGTTTTGTAAATGAATTCTTATTTAATTTTTTATAGGACCGGAAGCGAGTTCAGTTCTTCGTCCAGGTATTTCACCCGCTGATATACGCACCTTCGAAGATCTTTACTTTATGGAAAGTATGCTGCTGGAGTCCCTTTTTGATTTAAATGTTCCTGGTAGTGAAATTCGTTTGACACGATGTGGATATACGGGCGAAGATGGTTACGAGATAAGCATTCCACCTAAAATAGCTATTCCAATTGCTGAAATTTTAGTGCAGCATTCTTCTGTTAAACCTATTGGATTAGCTGCTCGAGATACCTTGAGATTAGAAGCTGGTTTGTGTTTGTACGGAAATGATATATCTGAAGCAATAACTCCTGTCGAAGCTTCACTATCTTGGCTTATTCGTAAGTTATGAGTATCTTGAAGAAGCTTTTCTTGATCTTAAAGTGCTTATTTTATTCTTTGAAAAATAAGCAGACAAGTATACCATACTTATATGTCGGTTTCATGATATAGTTCGTTTTTGCCATGTTCTGATATACGTTTTTTCTTGATTGACATTTTTATACGATTCATTCATTAGTGCAGTTGATGATAAAATATTCCCGATTCTGAGTAAATTCCACATTCAGTAATGTGGTTATTGAGTGTCATTTCCAGATCTAATTCACAACCCATTAAATTCGTGAATATTGCCAACCTTTGAGTATTAATTTACGGGGAATTTCAAAGTCTTAAAAGAGCATATAGGTATGTTGGTTCCATACTTTGTAACTGAATTTCTACCACTCATGTGCTAGTGTTTTTTAGGCAAAAGGGTCATGGATTAAAACTCAATAAAGTTTAGTTCAACCTGGTTTAGTCTCTTGACCTTACTCGTAAAGGGTTACTCATAGCCCACTATGTAAATTTCTACTGTGTCGCTGAGTAGAATGGTGAACCAACTGATGTACTTAAGTGACACTCACTTTTATAACAAGTGGTATAGCTGGCTTTACACTTCACACTAATAAGATCTGTTAAGGCAGAACACCCAGGTATTTGGTAGTAAAATTCGTTTTTGAAAAAAAATAATCTACAGTTATGAGAAAATGCGAGAATGTCATATTAAAATTTGAATTTGTGAACGTTATTCGTATTCTAATTCTTTTGTTTTCATTCCATGAGTTTCATGTTGTTTCGCAAAGGTTTTTTCCATTCTCCTCTTCACAAATTAATCCTTCAAGATTCTTACGGAAGATATATTGGAACGACAGAAGACAAGGGCCAGGCAACAGATTGTTTACTGAGAAAACCAACAGATATTTATAGATTTTTATTTTCGTTATTATTCGTAATTATTAACAGAGAAACAGCGTCTTCTGATTGGTTGTTTTCTCGCTGAATGCTAATCTCTCATCTCTTGGTGTCTGTTTCTTTTAAGGTCAGACCATATATCTGCGAATCGTATCCGCCCACGCAAAGTCTTTGTTCTTGTTTTTCTCATGACCAAGATTTGGGACGTAAACATTGACGTAAATTGCTGTCTAACAATTTTGGTTAGCAGACAGCTCTCACCACAATATTACTTACAAACTCTTTTCAGTAAAACACGTCACAGATCTTTAGCTTATTACATGATTATCTTTGAACACTGTATTTCGGTAGCCAGTTATCTGGAATATTCGTTCCGCTCTTTTGTATTTGCTGTTTATTCCAAACTACTGACAGTTGTTGGACAAATTACTGCTCTACAGTGGAATGTTATCTATGAACGCAAATTCTATTTAGTGATAATTCTAAATCCTAATGTTGAAAAAAGGTGTTAACTCAAAAGAAAGCTGTTTCTTTTCTTCAGTACACTGTAATTTAAAACCTCAACTATTTAATGACTTCGTTTGATATTTTTTAGACAAACAAAGGCGGTTGGGTAGAGAGCCGAAATTTCCAGGATATTCAATTATAAGCAATCAACTAAAGAATCAAAGTGAGGTGAAACAAAAAAGAATTGGAATGATATCTCAATCAGGTCCACCGGCGAGACGTAGGTTATGAATATTAAATTTTGTCTCTAGTTGATGTTATATTAGCTATATGAATACAAATAACAAGTTGATCCTAATTACTTCATTGTTGGAAATAATATTTTTATTCCTTCACGTCCCCAGTGGAACAGAGGGCCTCAAGCTACAGGCTTGAAGTTTCTGTAGCAGTGTTTATTTTACAGGATGGGGTTGCTAGCCTCATGCCCAACCTTTCCTCTTCACCAGCATTTTTTCTGGCTCAGCAAGGTAAAGGAGTGCGTCGGCCGGGGATAGAACACCGGACCATGTGTATGGTCGGCGAGCGTCCTAACCGCTATGCCACCGACGCACCGTTGGAAATAACAAATTATATTAATTTTTTACTACTAGTGAGTACTAGTGTGGGCTGAAGAAACTGTCTATCACAGTCCGACTTACAATGGTTATTCTACTGATACTGATTCGGATTAGTATTTACTCTTATGAATCTTTTGTTGATATTCGTTTCTTCCTATAGCGAAAGGATACTATTTCTTATTTAAAATAGTTTATGGTACCCGTTTCTAATTAGTGTGGAGAACAGATACTTTAGGTTACCCCTCGGAAGTATACCTCCTCGTGAGACGTTCATTGTACTTAATATCTTCAAATATATGATCATTCTTGTCTGTATCACGTTTCACAGCCAAAATACATCATTTCACCTCTTTTAGAATCAGTTTTTGAGTGGTACAATTAACTTGTTCTCTACATTACTACAAATGGTGTCTTGAACTTGACTAGCTTTCGACACAAAAGATATTCTTATTTGTCAGATATGTAAAATGTTCAATAGTAAAATTTCGTTGCATTCATGTAACTCTATTTGTTTTAAGTAATTATCACTACTACAATTCAACTAACTAACGTTAGTTATTGATAAATCTAAAATAGTCGTCCTATTTTTATAGGTTGCTTTATTGACCTTGCACAATACAGTCGTTTTAGTACATAATCTAGGTTAAATAAATGTAATGCTTAATTTTATGTCCAAAATTGGTAAAAAGAGAAACATTGAAGTCATATTTGTCGTGTTTGTATGGTAAACCAGTTTAGTTAAGTGATAGTGTAGTGTGTTTGCTGTTTGCGCTAATAGTTGTAAAGCAACAAAATGCTGAGTTTTTGTAAAATAAGAACAGTTATTATTATTGTTAGGCGAATACATAACGGGACTAAAGCTTAAACGATAATTAACGCGCCATGGAACAAATTATGTCTTTCCCCTGTGTGGATCTTCTAATATAAACTTTATTTACGGAAATGAATTGCAACCATATAACCATGTTCAATTTGTAGCAGATTTATGTGTAAGTGACTCATACTACTCATCTACCCGAAGCCTATAACGTACAATTCAGTAGTGGAGTTCCTGAACAAACAAACAAATATAATCCCTCTGTTCAGTACAGTAAGTTCAAGTATAATGGCTGAAACTATGATGGTAATTCAATAAATTTGTGAACTAAGCATATCTATTAGTTTCACACCTTTAGATTAACGCTCCACATACTTTATTATATATCGAACAGGCTAGTTTTATGATTAATATGAAAATAATGCTCACCAGTTAGGCGGGAGGACAGGATTTGACACCCAGCCGACTAACCCCACCTAGTTTGCTAACCGCTAGGAAGCTCAGAAAAGAGGGAAGGTTGGATGTGAGGCTAGCAATCCCACCCCGTTACAACAACACTGCTACTGAAACTTCAAAGGTTGTAGTCTTATGTTCCACTCGTAACGCGAAGCAATGCAAACGAAGAGCAAGCTTATATTAGAATTCAGAGGTTAATTATGAGTGCGACACGACTGTTTGATCAGATGATAAAAGTTGACCGACCTAAGAGTAAATTACATCATTATGAACAGAACGGCCAGTAAAAACAAATCAGTTAAGCGATAAATGTATCGTCACGTAATATATTCTTGTTATGACACAATATTAATGGTTTATATATTGGAGCACTCACTCAAAAGCAGTTTTTCTACCATACTAAATCTGCTGTAGACTTTCAACCTATCCACAACAATGGTTACATTTTTCCTAATCTCCCCATATAGTTATACTTTTTTGTATTCGTTAACTTTCTTGGGATATTCCATTTCATTTATAATTTCTGTTGAGTTGAGTTGAATGAAAATGACAGTTAGTATAGTCTTCCCACTTTCTAGACTCTTCAGGACTGGTGTTTTGTCTTGTTTTCTAGACTTAACAATATTGAAAACTGAAATATATATTAGTTTATGATGTGCTTTCATTTTCTGACAAAAGACAAATCAAATCAAATAATCTTTTTAGGATTTCATCATGAGCTGACATCGGTTAGAGAACCATTGGAAAACCAGCTGGGAGTACTGGACAGCCGTTTCGCCAGCCTAGTTTGTGACTCTTCAGAGTGCGCACCCACCACCAGGGTTCGAACCCAGGACCTTCTGGTTACAAGGCCAGCTCGTAGACCCTGAAGCCACTGGGTACCAATCCAATTGCCCATGAATTCCAACCTATGTCAATTCAAGATATACCGCTACCACTAGCCAATGTCATCCGTGGCGAGTATTTGTCCTCACACCCGACCTTCTATAACCGGAAAATCCTGGGTTCGAACCCCGATGGGTGCGTACTGATGAAGGGTCCCAAACTAGGACGAAACAGCTGTCCGGTACTCCCAGGTTTTCTAGTGGTTCTCTAAATGATGTTAGCTCATGATGAAATTCTGATACCAATCAAAATCTCCGCAAACCAACAATCAAAGAATCCTTTGTTAGTACGAAAAAACAAATGACACGGTTATTGAACTGCGTGTCAACATACTTGTATTACAACACATTCACAAATGAAGAATTATAAATTGTTCTTACAGTTGTTTTGATTTTACGTAATTATCTATGGTGTAATCAGTATGATCAGTAAATTTTGACAGTGGTAAAGTTGGAGAATACGTATAGATATGAATTGACAATGACAGGAGTCTGAAAATACAAGAGACATTGAAATCAATAAACGTAATAGTGGTAAACACAATCAAGGATGGATTATATGTGAGCCTTCTTGTTGAACTAGTGAAATAACGATCCTTTCATTCTACAAAAGTGGTAAATCTTCATTCACTTTTTTGTGTATAAGTGTAGAGATAGAGAGGTATAGAGCATATAAGTTATGGCAGAACGAATTTGCCTCGCTTTTGTTTCAGCCTGCATCAATTGACAGAACGGAAACTGTCAATTATGGTTTGAATTCCCTGAAGTAGTTGATCTTATGTGGTTTGTATTACATGCGTAGGGGATTTCTGAAATCACATAAGATCTCACGTCTAGCTGTTTTAAACATGTTCTATTGACATTTTTACGCAGCTGCAATATCTTTTATGGTGGTCGCTGCACTATGCTCGAAAACACCTCAAGACAGCTCTTATTCTCACTCCTGTTAACAAAAGTTTTCTACATTAAGGTTTATTAAGTTGAGTCAATAAACTGGTTCAGCAGGAATTTAAAAAATGAAGCAAGATTGATAAATACTCATTGTATAAGAGGTTACTATGATGGCTCAGTAGCTTAGTAGATAACTCTTTGGCTTTGAACACTGTTACGTATGCTGGATTTGATTTTCATCACGATCATATCCACTCACCATTGTTTGTTTGTGTGTGTTCATCAGACTAGCAAGTTCAAAATTCTTAGACTCCACTGCTATCTACAGCTAAATAAGTAGGGCTAACATATTCCGAATACTTTACCTTTTAACAATTTGTCAAGCAGCATATAAGATTTGTTTGAAAATTAACCAACTATAATACACAGTAAATATTGAATTTATCATTTACTTCATCCTTCTTTGTTTATTTTTAAGATGGCGCGAAAATATTTGATGAGTCAAAGAAAATAGAAATCGGTATTGTAACAAGTGGTTGTTTATCGCCTACATTAAATAAAAATATTGCAATGGCTTATGTGAAATCAGATTATTGTCAACTTGATCAGCAATTATTTATTCAAATACGTGAAAAATTCTATCCATATACAGTTACAAAAATGCCTTTTGTTCCTAATAAATATGCCAGACGACCTTCAAAATGATATTTCCTCTCTGTTTCTGTTGCTGAGCCTGGTTTAGGCTATTGAATTAAAGTTGTTTTTTAAAGCGTCTTGTTTGTCGAATGTTCAATGTTGCTGTATGGAAAATAGGATTTTAACTGATTACTGTTTCCTAAAAGTAAAAATTCATTAGAATTCAATCTATTATTCTTTAGTTTATATGTAAAATTATCAGGGATAATATGTAGCAATGTACTTTTATTGTGATTTTATTTTCTTATTTTTTGTTTCTTATTTTGAGTTTTATTATATTCTAATCATCAATAAACACCTTGTTCAAAAGAAACAATACGCCTTCTTTTAATCGAGGTATAGTGTGTAAACTTCGGTATGTGAAAATGGAATTAAACCTTTCTTGGGTCTAATTGCATAGATGATTACATTATTGACTGGAGTATTGATGCTAGATCATAACATCCGGTCACGAATAGAGATTTTCCACAGTTGGTTTTCATGAGTGTGGATTAGTTTATAATATACTAGTATAGGCTTTACTAGTATAAGGCTGTGTGAAATCCGATTGGAAATATTTAACAAAGATCGGTTCTCTAAAAGCGGTCATTGAGTGAAGATTTATAGGCTGCTTGTAGGTTCTTTGAAAGGAATATACATTGAATTGTTAAGCTATGAGCTTGTATCGAATCATACATATATATATTTCAGTCGTTTTCAGTTGCTATCTACTTTAATGTGTGATGTTAAGTGAAGTAAGGGAGAAGTGGAAGGGAAGTTAGTGGAGTTATAGGGAAGTATAGCACAAAAGAATCAAATTATTGATCAGCGGGCTGATTTACTTGCAAAACTCCAGTTTGAAAAAAAAATCAGTCTATCAAAGTTACTAGGCAGAATTCAAGAGTAATCCGTGATCTAACTTTCAGAAATGAATCAGTCAGAACAGGTTGTTAATGAACTGATTAACAAACTACAGAAATAACTATCCTGTAGTTACCTTATTTGGATTATCAAGTTTCCAGACTATTTGAAGAGTTCATTACCATACATCATATAACTTCAGTTTATGTTAACACAGGTAGATAAAAGCAGCAGGAAATCCTGACAGTCCTATTCATCACTTTCCTTACCCAATTTTGTTTACATATTTGGAGTTGTTGAATCACCCTACATTTTGATCACATTCGTTCTTCATGTTAGATAATATGATAGATTAGATGAACAAAGGGAGAATTTACAGAATTATTTTTAGTTTGGCGTATATTTCGTTGTTCCATACTGATTATTACCAACAATAAATGTAACATTATTATGTTTAAAACATCTATGGAAATGATAACTTCGTATTTTCGGGGATTGATATTAAATTATATATATATATATATATGACTAACGTTCCAGATAATTTGGTTTTACTGTGCTTTAAAGTTTCAGTAACGATGAGGTAATTTTTTAAAGAGTGCGGTTGCTAACCTCACTGGCAGTCTTCACTTTTTCTGGGCTTAGATCGTGCTAGTATTAACCTGACAAGTACAATCTGCATAAATGCACTTTTAAAAAATAACATATTTTTGCGAAATGGCTGCTGGTGAAGTTCTCTAGCCTAGCAGGGAAATTTTCGATAAACGTTTCACCAATGTGATCTTCATCTAGAGTTAAAAGTCTTTTTCACTGTCACATGGTAAAATGAGCAGATGACACATACTTTTGATGACTCATTTTCGGTTAGTTTATAGTATATGTGAGTCTAACATTGTTGTATTCTAACTAAAACCCAAACGTATCACTTAAGCAACAGTTTGAAAGGATTTTTTAATTTTCTAATATCTATTCATGAATGGCGTCGGTGGCACAGCGGTAGAATGCTCGCCAACCACGCAGGTGGTTCGGGGTTCGATCCCCGGCCGCCACACTCCTTTACCTCTCTAAGCCAGTAATAAGACTGGTAAAGAGGGAAGGGAGGCCAGCAACCTCGTCCCATAAAAATAAACACCACTGCTACCGAGACTTTAAAGCTCTAGCTTGAAGTCCTATGCTCCACTGGAAACGTAAAGGAATAAAAAAAATTCATGAATGCTTCGTCATAGTTCGGTGGGTTGAACTCAAACTCTTACATTTAGAAATAATAAACATCAGTTTTATAAAATACCTGTAATGTGGTTCAGAGGCTTGGTGTGCACACCACGATGAGCATCACCAACAGTCAGCTGTAGACTTTCATCAACAATCGCTCCTTTGCTCCAAACTGAAGATCAGATGATTGGTCGAAAAGGAGAAGCAACAGGGACCTCTGGCAATGAACCAGCCAGGAACTTATCACCCAAAAATATGCAAAAAGCAAAGGCTATGGACTCAACGTGCTCTGAGAAAACTATAGGGTGACATCATGCGCCAGGCACTCAAGTGGAACCCGAATGGGAAACGACGAGTTAATCTTGAGTCCGAGGGTGATGCGGGAAAGATCATGTGAGGAGGAAATGGAAACTTATAGATGATCATATATCCGGTTAAAAAAGAACTGAAGAGAACACAGTGAAACTGTCATTTGCTACCGAAGCACTATGTTCCACTCAGAACGCATGGGAATAATAATAATAATGTCACTAAGAGCGGTTTATTAAAACTGTTCATTTGCCTGCTGGACTACGGGAAATTATGCGATATATTACCTTGAACCAAGGAAAATTCTGTAGTCGACCAAGAAATAAATATCGAAAGAATTCAGAGAAATTTGGATTGTTATCAAAACTAATACTGACATTATTGCATACACGGTAACCATGCACATATGTAGAGGACGAATATTATCATATTTTAAATAATTTAGAAAAGAAACATAATCATTACAGATAATTAATGGGATGTTAAGAGTAGTGTTTAGTGTTCTCTAGATGATCACTATTTTTCAATAGCCTAAAAGATGCAATTTTGCATTTGACCACCTCAAATTAATGCATAACACTTCACCACTTCCTATAGAGCTGGGTATATTGACTGGGCTTTGGATACAGGTTCTGTCCAATGGTGAACGATTCTGCACAGTTATGAGAAGATAAAAATGGAGTTGTAAGCAGTACAATAGATGAACGTCCCACCAAGTAAGAAGTAACTTTAGTTTACAAACTTCCTCTTGATATGTAATTGTTATATTTCTCATTTAAAACTCTAAACTTATGGTGGGAATTATTCTTCTAAAATCAAGAGTCTTCAGTCAAATCCTATTCGACGTTGTTCTAGTGAACTTTTGAAGTACTAGTCACTGGGTCAAGTACTTTATTATATATATATATACATATATATATATATATATATTGATTACAGCTTGATTCCACACCGTATTTTTGGTACAAGTATGAAATTTTCAGCATGTGATATCGGTAGCCCGAATTTAGCAGGCCGACCATTGATATCAGGTGTGTGTCGGCAGGGGATCGAACCCCGGACCATGTGCATGGTCGGCGAGAGTCCTAACCACTGTACCACCGACCCCATTGAGTAGGCTTTCCTGGTATGCTTGGATACCTGGGTACTATCTCTACTTGGCACACGATGTAGGAAGACTAATTGTTAACAGCTTCCGATTATACCTCTTGTTTTGAAAGGCCTAATGTTTAATCTTCTTTCATATTTTCAATATGATACTGATTTGGTAGTGAGCAAATCATTTAAATGGAGACTAATATTGCATATTAATCACACCAATCTTCAAAAGCAATTGCACTAGCCAGTTTAGTATAAATAATAACTCTTACAGCTATGATATACTAATGTATTTTTCGAAGTGTAAAGAAGATTTACAATACCTAAAATTGAATGTGTAATACAATTAGTCGTGGATAACGTAGTTGACCATTAGTTGATTACAAGAGTCAGTAAAGATATGAACCTGAAACACTCGTTGTTCATGTACTCAGATTGTGATTACCTTATTATCTCTAAATATGTTTAGCCAAGAAAGATGTTTTGGTTATTAGCCGTTCCCCTAGTAATTATTTATACAGTTATTAAGCAACTGCAAATAATTTGTTGAAAACAGTTTACAAAATTCACAGTAGCTATTAGCTTACGTAGACTGTTTAAATTCTTGGGTTTTGACGAATCTAATTAAACTGAATATCAAAATGGTTCTGTAATAATAAACTCTGGTTCACTTCTCAGCATCAAAAGCTTATTTAAACTTAGTTTTTAACATCAAAAACATTCAATTAATTAAGGATAATTAAACAAATCAGTGTGCATTACAGTTAGTTATTGATGAGAAATTTCATTTAAAGGTTTTAAGGTTTGTGTTATATATACATAGGTGATGGGAGATAATCGTTAGGAAGCTGTGGGTATAAAATTCGTGCTTTCTAGCACTCGTCAGCAATGTGTATCTGGAGAATTTGAACCCATGTCACCTAGTTCTGCAATCAGAGACATTACCATTGAGCTATTCGGAAATATAACGGGTGCATGAGACCTAGTTCCGGAGCATCTTGCCGACTGCCTTCGACCATCACACGCCATTTTGGGGTTAACCTCGATGGTAAGTCACCTCACAAGCTTAATTGATAGAATCCGGTTAGCATCAATACAAAGTACGAGAAACGTGACATTGGTTGCACTTCAGTGACCAATCAGTATATGTATATATGTGCTACATTATAATGGGATATGAAAAAATAATACGGACTGGTCTTCTGTTTGCCCAGTTATGTAGCACAAAGTGGATTTTGATTCCAAACAAGTTATTCAACCCACTTTTAAAAATACAGTATCGTAAGGTAAGGGGAATTTGATATTGGTAGCGCTGGATTTTGAAGGAACTTGAAAACGTGTTAAGAATTCGACTTCAAGAATCATTGTTCTTAAAGTCCTGACAAAAATGCAAAAATTATCAAAATACAGTACCATGACGTTAGTAGACTACTTGACTACGTTATATTTCTTAGCCAGTAAAACTAGGTATTTTGAAAGTCAAGTAAAATCAGTGACTACAAACTTGAAAGTTATAAATGGTAACCAGACAGACTTCATTGTTCAGGTGTTGAAGTCTTACGGAGACCAATAGTCAAAATCACATTATATATTTAGAATGTTTTTAAAATATCTTAGACAATGTAACTTGAAATCCATAAATCCATTCCATAATTTTGTATTATTTCTTATATTACTGTTAAATATTACAGTAGGCTATTTGACATCAATAAATTTTGCGGTATTTGTGATACTGAGTGTCATTAAAGAGTACAGTCGTTAAGAGGAATTAATTC